GCCCCGGCCTCGCGGGGAGGGGGCGGGGCGCGGCCACGTGGGCCCGCGCGGCCCCTAATCCGGAGGCGCCCGTGAGACGCGCGGCTCCCGCGCTTTCCCACCGTCCACCTCTACGCGTCCCTGTGCCCACCGCCCTGGCCCCTGCTTTACACCTGGGAGACTGAGGCCCGGGAAGTGGGGGTTTGAACGACCCTGGGGTCTATGCCCATGTCTGCCAAGTCTGGAGTGCAGCCCTTTTGGGAACCTGGGGCCTGGTTTGGTCCCCAAAAGCGGGGGTCCCCAAGTCTGGCCTGGAGACTTGACAGGACTGCAGAAACTGGCTAACCACCGTCCCCACCCCCCACCCCGCCTTGGAGGGCAGGGGTCCCTCAGATCTACAGACACCCTGCCCCAACCCCACAGTCAGGTCCCAGGGTAGAGCCTGACCTCGGTGAGATGAGAGAAGGGGGTGGGGGGAGCTGGGCAGCCATCCAAGGGCAGCTTCGGGGGAAGGGTCCAAGCCCCCCGAATCACAGAACCTGATTGAGTCATCAGGTTTGTGACCTGACCCCCCAGCTGGCCAGACCCGGGCCAGGCAAGCCGCAGAAATGGACACCCGCAGCCCCAGCCCAGCCCTACCTCCTGGGCACCTGCACACAAGCCTTCCTGAGCAGCCCTCCGGCTCGGAGTCCCCAGCGGCTCCCGCTGCAGAGGGAGAGGTTGCTGCGTGGGCCTGGGGCACGGAGGGCCCTGTCCCATGACTCCGCGCCCCTGACTCGGTGCACTGGCCATACTTCAGGCAAGAGCCACAGGCAGCCCACGTGATCAGCCCCAGCAGTGGGGGCTCCTTCTGGGCCGGGGCGCCCAGCAATGCCCCAGCCCCGCTTTGGCCATCCTCGGTCATCTCCAGCAACCTGGAGCCAGTCCCTCCCTCAGGTGGCCTTAGCAGGGAAAGCCCATGCTACACAGGTAAACTGAGGCCACAGAAAGCCAAGGGCAGAGCCCAGCCTCAACCTGGACACCCCCTGTGCCCATCCTGCCCAGTCCCTCCTCCCCTGAGACCCAGCTCCAGGCAGGGCAGCACTGAAATGTCGGAGGGAGGGAGACTTTCTTCAGCGAGGACGATCTGTGTCTACACAGGGGGGGCAGCACAGACCCCAGAAACTGGGAGCCAGCTGCGGAGTCGACCAACCACAGGAAGGGCTTCTTGGTCCCACTCAGCACCCGGGGTGAGGCGCCACCACGGGCCCTGGTTGGCTCCCACTGGCGACCTGGAAACCACCCCGCTTTGGATGGGGCCCAGCCTGGAAAACTCGGAGCTGGGGCAGCTGCTGCGAGACAGAGGCTGAGGGTCTGACCCCCAGGGGCGGGCCCAGGCAGGGGCTCTGGGGCCTTAGGGCGCGAGAGGAAAACTCTAGGCAGGAGCTAAGGGGGGGGTAGAGAGGAGGTGAGCGCAGAAGACAAGGCTGCCCGCCCCTGCCTCTGCCCCTGGAGCGTCCCCTCCTCTGACCCCTGGGCTAGAAGAGCTGCAGGGCCCCAGCGGCCCGGCTCACTCTGAGGCCTTGGGCCAGTCCCCTCCGCTTGCGAAGCTTCAGTTTCCTCATCTGTGCGATGCACAGGATAAAGATCATCGTTCAGTCCCAGAGCTGCTGTCCAGATACAAAGCCCCTCCTCTGGGGCTCGGCGTGCAGCAGGCGCTCAGTAAATGTCAGCTTTACGTTAGTGCCCTGTGAGCTGGGGGCAGCCCCGCCTCGAGGGCTGACTGGTATCCACCAATAGGATGATAAGATGCCCAACCCCTGACAGAGGAGATGTGGAGACAGGATGGCAGACACCCCCCCTCCCCCAATCACCCCCTGCAGCCTGCTCTCTGTCCCGGGGCTGAATGGGCTCTGCCACCAGGAACCCCCCACCCGGCAGCACCCAGACTCAGCTGCGAAGCTGTCTGCAGCCCCAGCTGCCCTGGGGAGAGGTCTGGGGGCCACCCCTCTGCAGCCCGGCTCCCCTATGGGGGCTCCAGGCCGAGGGGCAGGAGAAGGCATCTGGCCCCTGCCCCCCTTCCTCGGGGCCTCAGGTTCCCGCTGTGTGTAAGCATCCCCCCACCCACCATCACTGGACTCCAAGTCTCCCTCTTGGGTCCAGCATAACCCTGAGGAGGAGGGGCTGGTCCTGAGCACGGAGGGCCGTGCTGGAGGGAAGGCCCCTCCCCGGCCACCCTGAACCCCCAGCCCGCTTCTGGGCTCTGGGGCTGACTGACCCACCATGTGGCCCAGGACCACAGCCCACTCCCAGGTAGGGTGGTGGCAGTCCACGGCCACAGGCCTTTGGGCAGGCTATTGCACCCTCAACACCTCAGCTTCCTCGGTTTCCCCCATGAAACAGGGGTAATCCTTCCTGCCTCTGAACGTTGCTGGAGGCCTGGATGAGCCATGGTGCCGCACTGGGCAGGGCACTGACCCCTAGACAGTGCAGGAGAGGGGCTGCTGACAGACAGGGTCTTCCTCACACCCACCCGGGGCCCAGGGTCCACCTACTCCAGGAGGGATGCCCAGAGCAGCGCTCCGCCCAACTCAGGCGCCCCTCCCGTCGGGGCCTCTAATGCTGGGCAGTGGGCAGGGAGGAGAGGACGCCTGAGGTGTGTCCACGCGTTGACCCGCCAAGGAAAGCGGGCCAAGCTGAGGGGCCGGGGGGCAGTGCCAGGCCCTTTACCTCCAGAGCCCAGGCACGGGTGTGTATTCACAGGCACGCATGCAGGGGAGCCCCTTCCAGCCATTCTTGGACACTTCTGGTGCCTGCTTCTGCTCACCCCCAGGTCCGTGTCCCACCATTCTCTTTTCCTGGATAAAGCTTCCCAGAATTCCTCACCTGGGACACACCCAGGCTCCCTTCAAGGACCTCCTCGGGTATCACCTCCTCCAGGAAGCCCTCCCTTGGCAACCCTGCCTTTCCCTTCATCGCCCTACATCCAGGGCTCTTCTGAAAAACGTCAGTGTCTCAAGCCTTCCCCAAGACGCCCCCTTGTTCCCTGGGGCCCCTGTGGGAGCCTAAACGTGCCTTTTTAGAAATTATACAAACAGTAGACACTGCTTCAAGAAAATCTGGAGAAAGCAGACATAAGAAAAACTAACCAAGCTTCTGGTCCCCAAAATGTCAGCATTCGGGAGGTTCCCTCCATCTCTCTGCCAATGTCAGGTGGACACTCGGTCTTCGATGTAACTCCATGGTGGGCTAACTACACCCCCAAAGTGACCTCCTACGTGCAAGGTCTCCCCAGCCCCAAGTTCAGCCCCCGTCCACCCCCCAGGGCAGGGTCCAGGCCTCAGTCCTTTCTCAGCCCAGGTGTGCCCAGGTGTCCGCTGCCCCAGGGAAGGGAAGGGAAGAGTCCGGCAGCTGGGAGGGAGGAAAGAGCCCCCTCTCGCATCCACTTCTTTGGTCTGGTTCTAGGGGGCGCGGGGAGCTAGGGCAGAAGGGGGCTGGGGAGTGGAGGGCAGGGTTTCCTCCCACCCCCCAGAGCACCCCTCCCCCAGAGCGGCCACGCAGCCGGAGGTTCCCACACTCTGGACCCTCCGCCTGCGGGGCTCGCAGGCCGCCTGGGAGCGGCCGCCCTTTGTCCACGGTCCTGGCCACCCGCCATCTGGAGCAAGAGTCCGACTGGGGATGGAGGGATCAATGAGGCTGCTCCTGCGTGCCACGGGGGAGACGCATGCCACCCCTCCCTGCTTCACTCTCCGCGGCAGGCTCCACTCACGCCAGCGCCCCAGGCCCACAGCCCAGGCGCTGCGCCCCTTCCCCTCCCCCATCCCGTCTCCGCGGGTCCAAGTTCCAGCTCCCACCCTCACCCTCCAAGTGGCCTCAGCAACCTCTCGGTGCCTGGGGGCTCTCGGAAAAAGGAAGTAATAATACTGCCTGGTCCCCAGGCAGGTCTAGCCTGGGAAATATACCAGAGCTGTTAGCCCTGCCTAGTACATAATAATAATAATAAATGCTCAAAAACCCTCTGGTTCCTATCTGTGAAGTGGGGCAGGGACACTCCCCTCACAGGGCAGCTCTAAGAAGGCAGATTCCTGTTCCCTGCCTGGTGCCTAGTAGATTCTCAGAAACTGGGAATCTTACCCCAATCCAGCTCCCGCCCGGATCCCCAGGGAGAGACCCCAAACCCCCTCCCCACCCCCGGACAAACTCAGCAACCTATAGCCACCGCCTCTCCAGTGCTCCCAGGAGCCTGCCTGGCTGGGGGCAACTGTGAGTGGCACCCAGTCCAGCCTTGCCCCTTCACGCCTGGGGACCCGAGCCGGGCGCCTTCCTGCTGTCCTGGGTGCTCTTTCAGTGGCCACCGCAGGTGGACCGGCTGGTGATGGAGGGCTGGCCGGGGGCCCCGCTGGGAGCCACTGGAGGGCAGGAGAGGGGCACAGCGCTGAGTTTGGATGGGCCCAGGGCGAGAGCCATGGCACAGAACCACCCCAGGGGGCACCAGTTTCTGGTCTGTGTGCAGCCTGGGGTCCTTGTGGTGGCACATGGCGGTGTCACAGTGGGTTGTCACTGTCTCTTTTCTCCCAGAAGGCCAGCCTGCCCACTCCCCACACCCCAAGAAGGAAACCCTCCCGGGACCAGAAACACCCAGGTTGTGGACAGCCTGGGACTTCACAGAACCCTGTGGATGGCATGACCTGCTCCAGGGAATCTGGCCCCAGGCTGAAGCGGAGGCGGCAGAGGCCAGTGGGTACAGTAGTGTCCCTTCCACACCAGTGCAGCCTGCAGGGCACTGGGAGGTCCAGGGCAGGGTCACTTGGGGCTGGATGGGGGGTGGGTGGGAGGGAGCGTGTGGCTCTTCTCCAAGGAGTCCTCCTTTTTAAATTTTTTTTTAATTGTGGTAAAATACACATAACATAAAACAACCTTAATTATTTATAAGTGCACAGCTCAGTGACATTAAGCACAGGCACGCTGTTGTGCAAACATCACCACCATCATCTCCAGAACTTTCTCATCTTCCCAAACCGACACTCTGGCCCCATGAGACACTCACTGCCCACCCCTCCCCCAGCCCCGGCCGCCACCCTCCTCCTTTCTGTCTCTGTGAGTGTGACTCCTCCAGGGACGTCACAGAAGCAGGATCATGTAGGATGTGTCCTTTCTGGCTGGCTCATCTCGCTCAGCACAGTGTCCTCAAGGTCCATCCACGTTGGAGCAGGTGTCAGAATCACCTTCCTTTCTAACGCTGAATAACATTCTGTCATAGGGATGGACCACATTTCACTTATCCATTCACCTGTTGATGGACACATGTTGTTTTTACCTCTTGGTGATTGTGAATAATGCTTCTGTGAACATGGATATGCGAGGGTCTCTTTGAGACCCCGCTTTCAATTCTCTTGGGTACAGAGCACAGGTGGAATTGCCATGTCACATGGTAATTCTACGTTAAATTTTGGAGGAACGACCACACTGTTTACCACAGCAGCTGCACCATCCCTATGAGAAGACCTCCCTTGTCATGGGGAGCAAATGCCCCTGGAGCACCGCCCCCATCATGGTGCCCTTTGCTTTGCAGTCAGCCTGGGAGGGGTGGAATTGGGGTGTGGGTTATTTAGAAATAGGTTATGGGGCTTCCCTGGTGGCGCAGGGGTTAGGAATCCGCCTGCCAGTGCAGGGGACACGGGTTCGAGCCCTGGTCCAGGAAGATCCCATATGCCGCGGAGCAACAAAGCCCCTGCGCCACAACTACTGAGCCTGCACTCTAGAGCCCGTGAGCCACAACTACTGAAGCCCGCGAGCCACAACTACTGAGCCCGCGCGCCTAGAGCCCGTGCTCCGCAACAAGAGAAACCATCGCAATGAGAAGCCCGCACACTGCAACGAAGAGTAGCCCCCGCTTGCCGCAACTAGAGAAAGCCTGCGTGCAGCAACGAAGACCCAACACAGCCAAAGATAAATAAATAAATAATTTTTAAAAGAAAAAAGAAACGGGTTGTGGTCCTAGATCCCTGAATTCTAGCATAATCATACCCAGCTCGTGGGTTTGGCCTGGAGCTCCACATCCACAGCAGGCACCTTGCCTCAGCGGCTGTTTCTAGACACCTCACCCCACCCTAGACTTACCGAGCTCTCCAGGGTGGGGGCAGGACGAACTCTCCCCGCCCTCCCCCCAGCTGCTGGGGGCAGCCAAAACAGAGGGTCCGAGGCCCCTCCACGCTCTGGGATGCTTCCGCGCTAAGCCTGCCAGCCAGGAGAGGCCCTGGGCTCTTCCCGCCTCCTCCCTCCTCCGCAGCCCCCCCAGGCTGCTGGGCCACTCACCTCGGACGGACATGTGAGCCAGGAGCCCAGCGACTTTCCCACACTTTGGCCCCATTCACAGTGTTAAACGGCCCACAAAGGCCAGGCGTGTGCCTCGGAGGCCGCGCTGCCATCTGGCCCGCACTCGGGGAGGGATCAAGCCTTTCATCCGGCCGGGCTGAGATTTAACACCATTCATTTCATATTTCCCACAACTCAAAATTGGATCAAAGCTGCTACTGTCCAGGGGGAGGGGGGAGGGGAGGAAGGCGGGAGGAGTCAGCCTCCCATGGCCCACCCGCCACCCTCACCTCCACCCTGGCCCACTGCGGGTGGGCGTGCAGCTGGGGTGGGGTGGGGTAGGGCCTGGACCACGTCTCTGGCACGTGTCTCCCTTGGGCCGAGAGCTGGCTTGGGGGAGGTGGCCAACTGCCCCTCTGAAGCTGGCGGGGTGGGGGACAGGGGGACGGGCCCGGCCCGCGTGCTGCCCTCAGTTCCGGGCAGAGCCCTGGGGCGCCCGCTGCCCGCAGCGAGGCAGTCGAGCACACGCCCCTCGTCCCTGCATTCCCTCTTCCTTGGCCAAGCTCCTCCTTGGCGCCAGGTGCCGGGCTGGCAGGGTGTGGGCGACGGGGACACAGGCAACTAAGCCATCTTGCCCTCCCCCTGACAGTCCACCCCCAGGGAGTCCATAGGCAGGCGAGGGACCCACCAAAACGTGCTGGTTGCCCAGCGCAAGCCCCACTTTTGGTGCAAAAATGGCTCCACTGAGCGTCACCGGGTGCCCCTTGCAGCCTGTGGGATATGCCAGCCCACGCTGACAGTACCAGCCAGGGCTGTGGAGCAGAGGACAGAGCACATGTCTCCAGCACACCCATCCCAGTTTGCCTGGGTGCCCTCTGCCCTTTTGCATCAAACCTGATCGGGCCGGATATCTGTGGTAGGGGGTCCACCTGCTCGAGAGGAGTCCAGGGCTCAGGGTCACCCACCTCCCAAAGCCAGCCTGGGGCCTGTTTCCCCTTCAAGAGAGGTGCTCTGGGGGTAGAGCAGGTGCCAAGGGGTGAATGGGGCTGCCCTCCACTCCCTTCCAAAGTCACCTATAGGTTCCCCCCCGGGAGGCCCCCAGCCTAATCCGTCCCAGTGGGTGACCAGCAGGCTCTTGGGGCTGCCCTGGCCGTCCTGACACCATCCTCCTGCTTCCCGGATGGGCCCATCTCCGGGTCCCCAAAGGCTCCTTGTGCTGCGGACCTCTTGAGCAGGTCCACCAAGCAGGCCACTCATAGCTGTGAGTCACTGCCTAGACCCTCGTCAAGGCCCTGCAATTCCCAGCTGCGCTCGGACATGGCTGCCGTCCAGGGAACTGTGCTCCTGGGTTTCGACTCTGGCTCACGCACCCTGATGCCAGCCGCTGGCTCCCCGGGCTGAAGCCCTGCCTCCTCTTTGGACCTTGCTGGGTCCCGCCTTGCCCCTAGAAGGTACTCCCAGCCCCACCCCCTCCCGCAGTCCCTGCAGAACTGGATTCCTGGCTGCAGAGAATCCAAGTAAAGTGATTGTTTTGGGTGGAGGGGTGCTCCCAACAAGCCCTCCCCTAGGGACCCAGGGTGGGGTTGGTGGTCCCCCAAGCAGTGGCTGGCCCTCAGCTGGGCTGACCAAGTACCGGGATCAGCGGTTCCTCCAGGGCGTCTGAGTAGGTACAGCGTTCGTGTGGGCTCCAGGCAGGAGCCTCATGTCTGCCACCTGGCACCCCCTTCCTCAGCACTGGCAAAATGCCTAGGGACAGCAAGCCCTCCAAGTGCCCCTAAGGCAGTGCAGAGCGTAGCATGCAGCCAAGGCTTCCCCCGAGTCACGCAGGAGCAGTGACCACACACCTGTACAGAGCACGCCCGCAGCCACGCGCCCTCCCGTGCTCCGTGGACAGCCACGGTCAGACTCCCATCCAGATGGGGGTGGGGTGGGACCCTAGAGGCCACCTGCTGATTCAGAGCACCCCAGTTGCCACAGTCTGCTGAACTGCTCCAGGGAGGAGGGAGTGCAGCTCCTGGGGGGACCGCCTAGGTGCCGGGCTCCATGCTGGGCGTTTCGGGTACTCTGGCTCCCTGAAGCTACCCAGAGCCCAGCCAGGGAGGCGTGGCAGCCCATTTTCTAGCTCTGAAGTCACGTGTCCCAGGTGACAGCCTGGGGAGACTTGCCACATGTGCCAGTAGGTCTGATCCTGAGAGCCTGGGCCCCTCTTCCACCTGTGCAGAGGGAGGTGACTGTGTCTGTTCAGGAAAAGGGCGGCTTCCTCCGTCCCCCTCGCCTGTCAAGGACGGTGCCCACCCTCCTGGAAGCCGCCCGCACTTGTGCATTCTAAAGCTTCCCCTTATCTGGGCTCCCGGCCTCTACCAGCCAGCAGCGGGGAGTCGCTGGGGAGGGGGGGGTACGGGAGAGAAGAGGGGGAGGGAGGGAAGGGGAGGGGAGGGGCGCAGCTCCTTCCTGCCCCCACCCTTGTCCCCGCGGCCTGGGAAAAGGCAGCATATTGAGGCGCGGGGCTCCCAGCATCAGGCCCCGGGATGCTAATGAGGGCGAGCGCGTTCCCACAGCCCGGACATTGTGCCGCGCGGCCCACCTGCTCCTCGGGGAGCGCCCATTGTGCCCGCGCCAATTCACAGGCAATTTAGCGTGCGCTAATGGGCCGGCGCCTTTGTGCGGCCCGCGCCGCCATTGGCCGCGGAGTGTGGGAACGGCCGCGGCGCCCGGGCCCCAGGCGCCAGCCCGCCGCCCGCGCCTATATAGGGGCTGGGGCCCGCGCCAGCACGGGACGCGCCCGCTCCGCTCCCTGCTTCCTCGCCTCCTCGCCTCTCCCCGCGCCAGGCATGGCCCCCAGCACCGTGGCCGTGGAGCTGCTCAGCCCCAAAGAGAAAAACCGAGTAAGTGCGCGGCCGCGGCCCCTGCGGCCCCCGCGCTGGCGCGGCCCCGCTGACGCCCCCTCCTCCCGCCCGCAGCTGCGGAAGCCGGTGGTGGAGAAGATGCGCCGCGACCGCATCAACAGCAGCATCGAGCAGCTGAAGCTGCTGCTAGAGCAGGAGTTCGCGCGCCACCAGCCCAACTCCAAGCTGGAGAAGGCCGACATCCTGGAGATGGCCGTCAGCTACCTGAAACACAGCAAAGGTGAGCCGCCCGGCGCCCTGGAGCCCCGGCCCGCGCGACCCCCGCCCCGCCCCGCTCCCCGCCGCCCCGCGCCCCGGGCTCCCCGGCCCCGCTCACCGCCGCCCCGACTCCCCGCAGCCTTCGCCGCCGCCCCCGGCGGCCCCAAGAGCCTGCACCAGGACTACAGCGAGGGCTACTCGTGGTGCCTGCAGGAGGCCGTGCAGTTCCTGACGCTGCACGCGGCCAGCGACACGCAGATGAAGCTGCTCTACCACTTCCAGCGCCCGCCGGCCGCGCCGGCCGCGCCCGCCAAGGAGCCCAAGGCGCCTGGCTCCGCGCCCGCGCCCGCCCCGGCCAAGGCCGCCGCCGCCGCTTCTGCGCGCCAGCCCGCCTGCGGCCTCTGGCGGCCGTGGTGACCCGCGGGCGGCAGCCCTGCCCGGAGGACCGGAGGGCCAGCGCGTTCCTCTGGCAGAGGGAAGGGCCTCCCCATCGTCCGTGCCGCCCCTGGCTTGGACTGGCCCCTTCTCCGGAAGGCTCTGTCTCCAGGCTGGCGGGCCAGCAGGAGGGTCATTCTCAGAGAATGTGCGTGCAGTGTCCTTGTCATTTAGGGCCCATCTTCTGCCAAATGTCTGACCCCATGGGGTTGCTCTGTGTTTGCATTTCAGCAAGTGACTTCTGGGAAGTCCCCACTGCCGGGGTTCTATGATATTTGTAGGCGGCGGGGCTCGGCCAGCCGGCGCCCCATGCGTAGAGGGCTTTCTTCAGATCCGGTGCTGCCAGGCCAGTGGGCCTGGCGCAGGCCGTGCCGTGGGCACATTTGCCTTTTGTGAAGGCGGAACTCAAGGTGTATCCTCGTAGGAACGACAGTGTCAGCCTGGATGGGCGTGGAAGGACAGGGCAGAGCCGTGGGCGCAAAGCCCCTGGGGATGCTTTGCTGTCTGCTCGGGGCTCACACCGGGGCTGTGTGGGGCGGCTGGGGGTCTCCACCACGATCCTTAAAGGATTCCCGTGTGGGTGGGTGCGCGTGGGCACAACTCTGTACTCAGAATTTGAACTCTCAGTCACGTGGGAGCCACGGGACTGCTCTAAAGACTTCTAATAAAATCCGACGAGTTCAGCCCCCTCCACTGTCTGTCTCTTGTGCCTCACACGTGTCCTCGGTGGCCACCGGGCAGGCGGGTCTGCAGGGATGACGGGGAGTGGGGACTATCATGGTCTGCAGCCACGGGTGGGCAGTGTCCTTGCCAGCGAGCCCCTGGACACAAGAAGAAGGGCTGGGCTCCTGCTGAAGGGAGGGGGGAGGGAGGAGGGCAGGCAGAGGAGAAGCCCGGAGGGAGGAAGCAGAGGTGACAGGCAGGGAGGGAGGGAGGGGGCGGAGCAGAAGGTGGAAATGACGGGTGAGGGGTCAGGTCAGGAGGCTGGGGAGAAACGGGCTTTCGGGGAGAAAGTGAGTGAGAGGCAGGGAAGCAGGGGAGAGGCAGGCCAGAAGGGAGAGGGCCTCACGGAACACATCAGGTCCCCCGTGTGCAGTAGGAGGGGACATGGCGGGGAACCTGGGTTCCCGCCCTAGACCTCTCACTATAGCTCCCTGCAGGTGGGGGTGGTGGCAAAGTGACAGGAATGTCCAGCTCCGTCCAGCTGAGAGCAACCCAAAAGCCACAGCCTGCAGCAGACCTCTTGCTGCAGCAAAAAGGGGGTAGCTGGGCCAAACACACAGAAGGTGTTTGCCCCGCCACGGTCCTCCCTGCCCGGCGGCCCTGTCCTGGGACAAGCTCCTGGGGTAACTTTCTCGGCTGGCCCACAGATGGCCAGCTGCCCTGCCTTCCTGCAGGTGGACCGCTCACCAAGGCTGAAACAGGCAGTGCTGGCAATGAGCCTGCCAAGGGCAGGCCCTGGTCTCAGAAAGGGCACCTATTTTTAGGCAGGCCCGGGGTGTTGGTTGAGTCTGCAGGGACCCAGAGGTACCCAGACTTGCCCTCCCTCGTTTCTGCTTGGCACCTCTCCTTGCTCTGCTTTCCATCCCTTTCTGTCCACTCTGCAGCGGAGGTCCGTAGCACCCCTTCCAGGCCAGTACTGCTAGTGGCCTCTGGGGTCCCTGCTGAGCCCTGGGAGTGGTGAGCAAGGGATGGGAAGCCCCTCTCACACCCCTCACGTTTATTGCTTGTGCGGCAGGCACACCATTGAACTTAGCGGGGGCAATCGCTGTTCTCGTGGGTGTACCTCCTGGTCAGGCTGACCTGGTCAGGCAGCTGGTGGCATGCTCAGACCGAGGCTGAGGTCCAGAGACTCCAAGTAACTGGCCCAGGGTCACCTAGGAGGCAGGTGCCAAAGCCACCGCGGGCCCTCGGCATGCTTCCAACACAGGGCTCTTTTGCAAAGTGCCCACTGCCTTTGAGGGGTACACGCCCCTTAAGAAGAGCCCCCACGCCTTCCCAGAGACGCCCTGGAAGCCTGTCCCCAACACCACATGGAAGCTTTCTCAGCTTGTTCCCTGCAAACTCCCACAGACTCCCTCTTTTGCCAGAAAACGGCCTCCTCCAGGAAGGCTGCTCGGCTTTCCCCTGCACTTTCTGAGGGTCTCACCATCATTCACACATCTCGCCCAGCTGCAAGGGTAGCTCCTACTCCGGGCGGGGTGAGAAAGGCTTCTAGAGGGCGGGGTCCCCAACTCCCCCTGTTTGCATAGGGTTTTTAACACCCACGGTCCTGCACTCCTAGGGAACCAAGCTGGTGGGTCCCAAGCGTCTTCACGTGCAGGTGCCAGGCTCACAACAGCAGTCACTAAAGAAACCGATTACCCTGGTGGTCTCCAAACCCCAGGTGCCCCCTCTGCACTAGCTCATATCATTGGAGGTCAGCATCCGGCCAACTCAGTGAAGGAACAACAAAGACGACGACAGCCCAGAGGTTTTGTGTTGAGCTGCCTCGCGGTCCGGTCTGGGGGACCCGCGCCCGCCTGCCTGAGTCGGCCCTCCAGCCGCCACCGCCGCGGCGGCGGGAGGGGCGAGGGCCGGCCCGAACTCTCATTAGCATAATCTATGCGCGGGAGGCGTTTAGCAGTCAAATATATGCGCATATATCTCCATGGCTGATGAGGCTGGCCGAGCACATTCAAAATGGCGGAGTGTGGAGCGAGCGGCAGCGGGAGCAGCGGGGACAGCCTGGACAAGAGCATCACACTGCCCCCCGACGAGATCTTCCGCAACCTGGAGAACGCCAAGCGCTTCGCCATAGACATAGGTCGCCGCGGGCGGGCGCGGGGAGCGGGGCAGCGGGGGCGGGCGCGGGCGCGGGCAGCGAGGCCGGCGGGCCGGGGCGGTGGCAAGGACGAAGGGCGGGGCGCGGGCCGTCGGCGCGCACGGCCTGTCGGGCCTTGTAGTCCGCGGGCAGCCGGCGGCGCCCGCTCTCTGCGGCAGCCGGACTACAGCTCCCGGCAGGCGCCGCGCGGCCGGAGCGGGGCATGCAGGGGTTCGTAGTCCCGCGGGAGAGGCGGCCTGGCTGCCCCTCTGGCATCCCGCCTCGGGAGCGGGGGTGGGGGTCGGCCGCCGGGCGGCGCAGCTCCCCGCCTGCCGGAGATCGGGGGTCGGGTGTCTGGGGCCGGGGCTTTGGAGGACCTGGGCGCAGACCTCAGGTCGGAAGCACCCCCGAGCCCCGCCCCCCGCAGGGCCCTCCTTCCCTCTCCGACGCGTTGACGCCTCCCGCCGACCGCTTTCTCAGATGTGGACGCTGAGGCGCGGATACCCGGGCGGTTCGGGGCCGGTCCATGACCTCCGGCCCGGGACCCCCGTGCGCCTGGCCCGCCGTGGCCGCTCAGTGAATGCAGGGACAGACCGTGCGCTTCTCCCCGGAGGGGTTGGGCCGCCCCGCTCCCCTGTCCTTGGGGGGGGCGGTGTCCAGGGAAGTGGGGAGCGTCCTGAGCCCCCACCTGCAAAGCCAGAGGGCGGGCGAGGGCAGCTGTGAGCCTGAGGTCGGCCCCCCGAAGGGGACCCGCCAGAACGGTGCCCGGCTGGACGTTGGGCCAGAGACGGTGAGCGCGAGGAACCGCCTGGGGGCTCAAGTCAGCCCCTCGGGGCCCTGCCGCTGTCCTCGGAGCCCTGTGCACTCCGGATGTGATGGCAGTCCAGGGGCCGTGTGCTCGGAGCTTCCGCACTTGATGCTGCTGCCCTGACCCTGGGGGCTCTGCTCCAACGGGTCGGCCCCTAACGTTTCTGAAGCGCCCCCGAAAATTGGCTGGCCACAGGGCTTACCTGGGTCGTTCTGCGTGGCCCTACCTTGTGGCGCGGAAGCGGGACCCTCCAGGGCCGAGCCCGGTCAGGGTTCCTTAGCAGAAGGACACTCAAAGGCATATTTTCAGCGTCCATGTTTATTTCCTCTCTGAAACTTCCCCCCGGCTCTGGGTCCTCTGTCTGGTTCTTTAAAAGACACGTTCATTGCTACTAAGGACAAACATTTGTGCGTTTATTTTGGGGGGGAGGCGGGGTTTGGCCACCCTGCGAGGTTTGTGGGGTCTTCGTTCTCCGACCAGGGATTGAACCTGGGCCCTCAGCAGTGAGAGTGCAGAGTCCTAACCACTGGACCGCCAGGGAATTCACAAGGACAGACTTTGTTAGTGTAGCTGATGGGAGGTCACGGGGCTCAGGGCAGGGGTCCTCCACCCAGGAATCCACAAAGCGAGAGTGCGGTCAGTGGTTCACAAGCAGGTTTCCGGTTTCCTCTCCCGTCCCCAAGCCTCTCAGTCCAGCTCTGACGGGGCGCCCCTCTCCGCGGGTGGAGTCCCTGCTTCAAAAGCCTCAGGGATGCTTTGGGTCAACACATACTTGAAGCTGACTTGACTCCAGGTTTCTGCTGGGCAGAGGGAGGGTCCCTTGGGTGAAGCAGAAGGGGCCACAGGGCAGGGATGTGCACGGAGGTGCCTGGAGTGGAAGGACAGCCCCGCACCATGCCCCGGGGTTCTGGATGAACTGGCGGGTCTTGGCTCAGGTCCCTCCCATCAGTCGGGGATGCTATGGGCCCCAGGGTGGAGCATGGGGTGGGGTGGCCCGGAGAGCCCATGGCGTCCACCAGAGAGCGCGGGACTGTGCTGGCCGCCTGGTCACTGCCCTCGTCAGGTGTGACGTGTGCGGCCCCGGCCCGAGTTGGCATTCACTCTAATCGCAAGGGACCCTGAGAGCAGGTGGGCTCCCACAGGCGCCCCCTGTGCTGCTCTGTGAACTCACCCTGGCTCAGACTGACCGCACTGCTCTGCTCGCAGCCCCGTGCCCCATCCGCTGTCTCCTGGCTCGGGTGGGAGACAAGTCTGGGCAGTGCCGGGCTTCGCCCCACTCGGGGTACATGGTGTGCGGTGCACAGAACCCAGCTCACTCCCCACGGCCCCCCACAAACCCCAACACTGTGTGTTTTGGTTGTGATTTATAGCTGACTTGAAGAGCACACTGTCTGGAATTGGATTTCTGTGACCTGGGTAACTTACGATGAGCTTCTCAAAAGATGTCTTCATCCCTTTGCGTTGCCTGTCTTTTTAGGAAACGATTTATTCACAGAGGTGAATCGGGCAACAAGCATTTCAGTGGAAGATGCTCCGTGCCAGGCCGGGATTGGGGGCAGGGAGGAGGGATAAGGAGGCTTAAGGCCAGGTTCTGTGTCGTAAGCTGACGGTCTGGGGATGAGAGCAAGCCCAGGACGACGGGGTTCAGTGACCAAACGTGGCCCAACGAGGCCAGGTCGCAGGACGTCCCAGGAGGCCCTGTCCACACTGCCAGACAGGTGGCTCCGATGGGACAGGTGGGACCGGTCTCGGAAGCTGGGCTTTGAGTTTTCTTACCTGGAAGAGCTTTGGCCTTCGGATACTGTGTTTCCAAATCTGTGTTTCTGACTTGAGTGTTTGTGGAATATTCCCTTAGTGTTTTGTCACAAAACAACAGTTGTTAATAGTTTTAGCCGCCTTCTCCAGACAAGGGGTTTCCCCCTTATTTTTGTCGGGCCTCCTAGGAAGCACAGTTGGTTCCAAGGTCACTTTGCAGAGCTGAGCCTTCTGCCTCTCTCTGGTCCGCCGTTCGTGGCTTCACAGCCGTGAATCACCTATAGCCTCCGACGCCTCCTCTCTGACTCAGGA